ACCCAGTTGCTTTTTTTACTGTCTTCGTCTAGTCAGACAGAATGTATCAAACTTATACTTTGCGCCTCTGTGTCATCCTTGCTCTTATATTACATTAACGAGATCAATGTTCAGAACTGTATTTTTTTCGGATATTCATTGGATCCTGCTGGTTGGTCAAATTTTCGAGATTTATCAGGTTTGTGCGTATGAAGATTTATCAGGTTAATCTGTATGAAGAATGAGCATTTTTAATAAAACGCTTCTTTTTTAAGTAGCTTCTTCGCATTTCAAGATGATTGATCATCGCATATTAGCTTATTGGGTGCTCTCAAGCTTAGTGCTCTAGATGCACTGCCAGTTATTAATTGAGAGCTTTCGATGCCTGTACCATTTTTGCATTAGTATAATTGTGTGGCAAGTTCAATCAAGTGTCATCATGTGGCAAGTTTAATGCCCAGGGAAGTCGAAAAATTTCTAAACTAGACTGGGGATGGAAGTTTTTCACGTTGGCCCTTTGCACCGCTGGTGGTGCACAGGACCCTTAAGGGGGTATTCCCGATCTTTTTTTTCAAAAAATCAAATTTTTTTTTTCACGTTTTTTTGTATTTTAGACTATATACTTTCATCCCCCCAAGCCGTTTTCCGATCAGCGAATTCGGTGTCCAGGCATAGCTGACTAATGGTAAGAACCCCCAAATGGTTTTAACTAAAGTTAAAACTTTAAACGCGTTTTTCTCGAAACCACATTTTTTTATCGGGCGAAGATTTTTCTCAGAAACTATAAGAGATATTGACTTGAATCTTTGCGCATTTTGTTCCTTATTAAATTCTTTGGAGCTTCTCCTACTTTCAGCCAAAAATATTAACATTTAACATTGTTTGAAGCACCTTAAAGCTGCAAAAAAGCGGGCTAAAAATCGCCTGTTTTTTCATATGGCCGCCATTTTGTTAATTTGCAAGATTTTTTGCTGCCAACGGGAGAAGCTCCAGAGAATCTTATGCAGATTATAATTTCATCACGAAATCTGTTTCAGATGAAGCCGTTCCAGAGAAAAGTCTTCGCCCGTCCAGGCGTTTGCGGCGAACAGGGGTCTGTTTGCCACCATTTTGTGACGTCAATAATGTCTTTTTTTATGTCGAAAAAAATTTATTTGTAAACTTTAATGTTCAATAAACAAGAATCCCAAAGAGTTAGGCGCATTACTATTCATTTTCCTTGAAAAAAAATTAATTGAAAAACAGGCCGAAAAAAGGCAAAAGATTGGGAATACCCCCTTAAGTAAGAAAGTAAGATTGTCATGGCTGCATCTCAAAATTTGTACTTTGACTATATGTTTTAGTATTACTTCTACGTGAAGTCAACGATTTACATAGTTGAAGATGCTAATTTCAAATAACAGGCTGTAGTGGTAATTTTTATACGATATATGGAGTAGATGAAAGCAAAGAGTTGATAGTTCCGTTAGAGTACGGCAGTGTGAAGATTGCATATAGATATTAGAATAGCGAGCTAGGACAACTTTTAAGGAAGGTACAAATCGGTTTTTTCATCTCTCTTTACCAAACTCTCCCTTTGGAGAGGGATGGTGAGGGGTGTCCCCCCCCCCGCCACCACTGCAAAAGAGATGAAAACCGACCCGCTCAAGTACCAACGGTGTGTTTGAAACAGTTCTACCGATTTTTTACCGCACTTCAGTTGTTATTTGAAGGAAGACATCCAGTCGTAGGTTTGGAAATTGCAACTATTGTTTACCCCTACCTGTGCTCCTGTCATCGTCGACTTGACGATCTCGAACAATAGTTGCAATTTCCAAACCTACGACTGGATGTCTTCCTTCAAATAACAACTGAAGTGCGGTAAAAAATCGGTAGAACTGTTTCAAACACACCGTTGGTACTTGAGCGGCTCGGTTTTCACCTCTTTTTGCCAGTGGTGGTGGGGGGGGGGGGACACCCCTCACCATCCCTCTCCAAAGGGGGAATTTGGTAAAGAGAGATGAAAAAACCGATTTGTACCTTCCTTAAAAGTTGTCCTAGCTCGCTATTCTAATATCTATATGCAATCTTCACACTGCCGTACTCTAACGGAACTATCAACTCTTTGCTTTCATCTACTCCACACACCAAAAAATTCTGAATTTTACTGGCGATGTAAACATCCATGCATGCAAATATTCATACATCTAAACTTCCTTTTCACGTAAACTAGCAGCTTTCAAGAAATGTTGCAAACAAAAGAGGACAGTTGCATACAATATATGGAATATAGCACGACATGTCTCATAAATTTACACGATCTATAATCTAAACTTGTATGTTATATGACGCTCCATTTATGTGCATCATAGTCACGTAAATTTACACTACTTTTTTTTAGCTGTGCATCTATCGTATCAAAATTACCACTACAGTCTGTTATTTGAAATTAGCATCTTAAACTACATAACAGCAAGATAGAAACAGATAGGGGAAATGACGGCTTCGGCATGCCAGACTATTTTCGGCAACCCAAATTGAAACACTATTTTCACTGGATTTTCTTACGAAAACACTTCGCTGAATGCGTGCAAACGATTCTTTATGCTTTCAGCTTCAATTTGACTATATTTTTACCACTGAGAAAAAGCAATCTAGCAGGGTTTTCTTGAAATGAAACACACGCACACGAGTTGCCGATAATAGAACAGCAGATTTACAAGCAGTTCAAATGGAACGGTTGCCGAAGAAAAAATGGTTGCCGACAATACTCGCTCTCACTAGAGAAGATTGGAGCTTTATAAAAGCGTTTCAAAACAGTTTTTGACAATTCTTTCGACTGAAATTGTTAGAGCAGCTGGCAGCAAAAGATTGTAAACAAACCAATACTGCATATGTGTGCGTTCCTTAGAGAAAAAGGCTATAGAAAGAAGGTCACTGCTTAGGTTGCCGAGAATACGTAAATTCCCCTATCAAAATTTGTGTTTTTAGGCTCTCTGGGGACTGGTAGTAAAGCAGGTAAAACTGTATGGGGAAAAATCAGTTTTATTTAATTGTAGCTTGTTTAACACTAATTTCCAGGAAAACACTGAACGACAAAGTCTCTGACTAATTTGTTTAGGATGTCGTTCACGTTTTTTGACCTGAATATGCACCGAAAGCGAATTATTCCCACTTCTCTCGATTTATATATGGGGCTTTTTATCACTTCCTACCAGCGGAACAACGTCATCTCTGTGGAAAATGACCGAACGATATGATTAATTCAGTGCCAACATTTCAAAGGGGCGTAATTGCATTTGTAAACAATGACTTTCGTCTTCGATTTCTCGCGAATGAAAGCTCACTCATGAAAATGAATGACACCAGCAGGTAGATGAATGTTTCCTGTCCCAGCTAGCATTGGTAATTTGAAGGGGTGGGCTTTTATTTGCGAGAAATCGACGGCTAAAGCCATTGTTTACAAAAGCAATTACGCCCCTTTGAAATGTTGGCACTGAATTGATAGCTGACAACAAAATCATGTTCATCACAACAAAAACAGGCTTGCTTATCGTTGTCAAGGAAAACACATGTTAAATGTTGATGGTATTCTAAGTAAGTACTTCTAAGCAGCGGTGCTGGTGGTGTTGTGGTAAGCGTGATTACCTCACACCCCAGCAGGCCTGGGTTCAATCCCAGTCGGCGCCGCCGGGATGTTCTGAGGCATAACATCTCTGATCACGAGGGAAGTAAAGCCGTTGGTCCCCGGTTCATGAGTTGATGGGTCGATAGGTAGGGCCAGGTGTGGGAGCTGCTTTCCTGGCGTCGGTAGCATTGGTACTCAGTGCGGGAAACAAGATCAACGGAAAACAAATCAAGGAAAAGAGAGAAAAAAAGTACTTCTAAGTACCAAAGATAGAGCGATAGCACTGAAATAAAAAAAAAATCCGTAGTAATCTGTCGTAATCTCCATACAAACTAAAAATCATTTGCAAAGACTCTTTTGGGTGCAATAAATAAAACTAGTGTTACACACATTAACGTAAAAGTTGATTTCTATAGCAACAATTACCATGACCATTTTTTGAAAAATCATTCTCAAAGAATAAACTCGCGTGCGAATCTACAAACAAAACAACACGATTACGTTTTTCATATATTTTCACGCATTTGCACTCACTTTGCAAAAAAAAACATCATTCCATGGTAAAACTCATAAAACCACTCAAACATCAATTGATAGCATACATGTTTTGTAAGTTTTCCATCGAATAATGCTAAAATAAACGCCAAGGGACCATGTATAAATCACGTATGATATATTTTTGATCTTTTTCAGAATCCCAGTCACATCTTCTACATACCCCCCCCCCCCAATACCACGTCATTTATGGATCGTTTCTAAGATCAATGTAAAATGAGGAAATAAGGAGTAATGAATTTTTGAATCAGAACAACAGGCAAAAGTCGTAGACGAATGAACTCTTGCATGATATTCGAATTATTAAGTTTTTAGCTACACTGATCATCATTCGTCACTGTCGAATTGGCTTCAATTTCATATTAAAAACAAAGAGTTTAATTGCTAATTTGCAAACTATTTCTTAGATGTGAGACCACTTGATATTTTAAGACTTTTAGCTAGATACAAATAATAATTCCTTTTTGGATGATGATTCTTTTGAAAGTAACTGCGTCTTTTTTTTTGAAAATACTCTATAAACCTTTGAAAAACGCTCAAAGCTATTGAGGTTAGGAATCATATTTTATATAATTCTTATAAAAGTTTCGCTTTATACTTCGTAGCTACGGGGTATAAATAGTTTTCCGAATTCAGATTTTATTTTGATTAAAATGCTTTCAATGACAAGAGCAACCAAAATCAACACTTGATAAAAAATTACAGATCATTTCGATGACTTAAAAAAAAAAAAAATTAACTACTGAAGACTGCAGATCCGAAACATGAAAACATGGATCTAATATTTTTTAAAGAACATCTTACTTTTATATCATTGCAGTGTTTCTTAGGTAGCACATTATATATAGTTTTTACTCACAAAATTAACCACTTTATCCATTTCGATTATATCTGCTTGATGGGTTATCCTTAATGAGGCCGGTGAAAAATTGCACTTATGTTTCGGTACTGATGTCACGTAAACGATATTTTACAAAAACTATAACTTAATCTATAAAATCACTATCACAAATTTGCACGTGCCATAGTTGAATCTATAGTAATCCGTGGCTTAAACTACAGTGCAGAGAATATATTATTGTTACTGCTCGATCACTGTTGGTGTTGCAAATGATTGATGCGTAAGGCAATCCTTCTGCTTTTATATTTTATGCACAACTGTCCCATTCATAGTTAAATCGAGCATAGGAATTGTTGGCACTTTGATAATGATATTCTTAGATAAGATTTTCCCCTCTACTTATCATCCATTGGAATGGCGCATGCCCTCTGATGAGCCGCGTTAATCTTCAATTAAAAAAATTAAAAGTGGCGTTGCCATGATATGCGAATGCAAAGCGTGTCGTTGTATTTTTTTTATCGAACAGGGGATTCCCATAGAGTTTATTGCTTTTTTCCTACGCTATTTCGGAATGGTTTGTTGAGTTGGAATTTCACTGCTGCTTTTAAAGATAGAAGTCTGTCCATGCATTACAAACCCTTTTGAATTGGCATTATTATTTCAAGATTTTCAATTTGTGTTTTTATCGCTTTTCCATTCATGACATTTTTTGTTCTGAATTATTTGTTTGAGTATTGAACTAGTATTGTTAACAGTAGTTTTAAGAGGCAGAATGCCAACTTCTTCCATTATTTAACTCTCAATGCACTCAACCCATAAATTGGGTACGAGCTGTCCCCTTGCACATATCTAAGCATAAGCACAACAAGCCGGTGTTGCTGATCCTCTCTCCACTTTCACTGCAAAATTTAAATTTGTAGAAGTAATAGGCGTTACTCTGATGCTTGTAAACAGGCGGCTTCATTGTTCTTTTCGACCTCCGGGGTCGTCACGTCCATGTCAACACGCATTTCCTCAGGCATCTTAAATTCATTATTAAGCATACTGGGGGGAGTGGGACTTTCGGGTAAGTGGGACCTTTGTCTTGTGTGACAGAAATTTCATAAATGTTATATGATTTCCACTAGAATGTGAAAGTTTCTTTAAATACTGTCGTAATGCAAACAAAAATTGGAAAAAATTTGAGCTAAAATCCGTCTTCTGTGAATTTTACAAAATTATTATTTTGAATCAATGTCAAATTTATTCATTTATGTTTCTTTTTTATGTAGAAATAAGTAAACAAAACAAATTTTGCTGAAATTTTTCTATGTTAACTGCCATAGAAAAATTTCAGCAAAATTCTACTAATTCATTTCTACTATCATCGGTTGAAAACTTCGAAATTCGATGGTTTTTATAAAGAATTATAGCAAGTTACTTGCAATTCGTAACCGTTGATTGAGTGGCATAACGAAGAAGAACATGTTTTAGAAAGTTTCCTCTAGACCGTCTTTTCAACATGTCTCTGAAAAATGGAAAATTCTCTGAAATTTGGAAATCATCTTATTTGGTACCTATTTTCAAATCAGGCGCAAAGTCAGACATTCGAAATTATCGTGGAATTGCTATTATTTCTTGCATGCCAAAACTTTTTGAATTAATCGTAAACGGCAATATTTTTCAGCAGGTGAAAAATCTAATTACAAGTAAACAACACGGCTTTTTTAAAGGTCGCTCAACTACCTCTTATCTTCTAGAATATGTATCTTTCATTCTTAAAGCGATGGACAGTGGCAAGCACGTTGAAGCGTTATACACCGACTTCAGTGAAGCATTTGTCCGAATCGACATACCATTATGAATCCTCAAATTGCAGAAAATAGGAAAGGAGCCTGGACTTTTTAATTGGCTTCAATCATACACAAACAACAAATAGTTCGCTTTCAAAATAAACTTTCAGAACCAATTCCATGGAGAAGAAAAGGAGATTGGATAAGAAGATAAATAGATTGGTGACAAAAAATCAATGTGTTAATTGTATTGAATAAAAAAAATATTAGACCCTCGGCTTCGTTTAGTTACAAGACTAAATAAATATTATGAAAAAATAATAATATTACATTACCGCACGCCGTGTCCAAAGTGGGGGATTTATTAACTTTCATCTACTTCATCTGTGCTTAGTCTCTTAAATCGGTTGGATTTAAAATATTATATTGGGGGAAATTGGTCCATTTTACATAGGTAAATTTTGTAAAAAAAATCGATGTACCTGAAAGATAATTAATCTGCCATATCTGACACAGCGTGTACGGGACGAAAGTAATTAAAATCATGATTTTATGTTTCTCCAAAAAAGTTTAATAAGCTGTAACTTTTTAGAATGCGGACTATATTGAAAGTCTATCTGAATGGTTTTGGGTTTTATTAGCTCTAGTCTATATAATGATTGAGTAATTTTAGTAAAACTCTTCTTTTTGAATTGCTCTTTAAATCTGCTATTTCTTGAAGTGTACTATTATTATTATTATTATTATTGTCTTTATTAAAGAGACTTTCATTTGAAGTGCAAACATGACATCAATTATGCTCATTTTTAATCACAACGTTAGACTAAGGAATGCCGTGAAAATTTCCATAACGAAAAAAAATCTCCAGGGTGGACCGGGAATCTAACTCACAGCTTTCGGCTTGGTAATACCATGTCTAAATTGATCGACTGCTCGCACAACACTTAGGTACATTTCTGATTTTAAAATTAAGATGTCAATAATTTTTATATAATTATTACAAGTATAATCAGAATCTCAAATTACCACGCGAATAATTGATTTCTTAATTGTGATATTATTAAATATAAAAATACTCTCTTGGAAGTAGGGACAGTTACAGAGCTCATATGGTATGGTTTATTATAATTCATCATGAAGTAGGTATACATTTATGTAGAAAATTGTTCTTATTCATATTAAAAAGATTTTTTGTATGTTATTTGGCAATTAAGGATCCTCTGAATAATAAATGGAAAACGGTATTCAAAACTAAATCCAATAGTTGCTTTATAACTAGAAGCATGTGGCCATTCTCATGATTTCATGAATGTCCATTGTATCATTTTCAGGCATAACGATCACGTCCCCGTGTAAATGTCCTTGGAAAAAGAGAATCATGCAATCATCGCAGTCGCTGGTCTCGCATAAATATGTCAGGAGTTATGCACACTCGAATGAAATATGGTCACTAAAAATGCATTTTTCTCGTTTGCTGAACCACTGCATTTCCGACCTTTCCTACGTGGAACCGATATGCAAACGTGAGTCCGCTGTCGGATAGTGTTGATGTGGCACTCGCTTCAGAAGAATTATGTATTTTTCTTGGAATTTTCTAAAATCTAAGTGCAACAGATTCATGTCCTCGTGATTGAAATTGTACAGAGACGAGTGTGAGCTAGCTGTTTTAACAGTCCAGATTATCAAACTGCTACATGCATACTATGTATTGACTGTGTAGTGTTTGATTCATGAGGCAACTTCTAAGTTCAGTTGAGAACGTAACAGATTTGATGAAATCATCAGCTGACGCAATTTCATAGCTTTTTTCAAGGTACTTACGTATAGCAAGTTGTTCGCGATTTAAAGCTGTTAGAAGATGTAAAGATTTGAAATTTGCTTGATTTTTTTACATTTATCTGGTAAACTTTTAAACTTTTGAAAGCGTTCTCATGAACTCAACTGTTATTTTAAAAAAAATATAACTTTTTGTTATCAATATCCTTTGAAATACAAAATTTGATAACATTTTGATAATATTCTGGAAACCTGCTTGAGTAGGCTACCAAGACTAAATTGATTCTTTAATTTGAAAAATTAGGGAGCATCCATTTAATACGTCAAGTTACATTCTAAAAAAATCATCCACCTTGGCCCTTATTCTCGTTTTTCCTATACCTTGTGAATTTCTTGTCATTGAATTTTGAACCCCCCTCTCTCTGTAGAGAGTGACTTAGCGTTACTCCATAGAAAAAAGCGCTATCGTTCTGGGTTCTCAGATAGCCTGCCCAACAAACAATCGCCTATTGAAGAAACGACTTCTTGACGATTTTATTCAACTGCATGCTTAATAATACTTCTGTAAATTCTATTCAGGCTTTGTTCACACAAATCTGGAGAATTTATTCAACCACAACATGGTGTTGATTAAGGTATGTGTCGAGAAGCTTTCATTAGACTTCCATGAGTTGTAACAGAGCTTATTCTATCAAATGTTTTATTATTCAGCGTTTATTGGACATCGTTGTTCCTTCAATAGCGATGATGTATACCTTGATTATCATGTGAAGTAACGTTTAAATTAGACACTATTATACATTTATTGAACGATTGTTCAAATGCAGAAAAATTAACCCGAAAATAAAGAATGGTTGAAGACAGACACATAGCAAGTAAATCTAATATGATATCAGTCCCTTATAGACTATTTTTTGGTTTTATTTTCAATGTTAAGTTTTAAAGAAGAACATTACACACATAACCGATGATCTTTTTTTTATAATATTTTTTTACGGATTTGGAAGGATCATTTTGTTTCCAACTTATTTTCGATACAGTCCTTACTACCAACGGATTCTGAGGATTCACTTTACCTAGAAGACAGCCAATAATTTCCTTCTTGCACTAGATGAACAATGCGTCTCTTATAATCCCATCTCCCACATCAACTCGGCGGTTCCACTTTCCTGGATGGCTGTAAAGTCATCTATCGCATACCCATCAGCATTCTTATTAACATCACTCGTAGCAACAAAAATATAAAGATATGAACACCTGGAAGGACAACAAAACTCAACACATCACCGGTATCAGCAACAGGAACAACAAAATTGTGAATGGACACTATAGAAGAGCGTAAGAAATTGTGGTGAAAATCACAAATCCAATTTTTGGTAATGCAAGACTCGCCAAGCGATCTTTCAATGCGTACTAAGCTACAGGTACGAAACGCTCCACGTTTCCGACCAGGTACTAATTCCTTTGCAGTTAATAACGGTCAGCGAAGAACACATTCTACATTCGTACACGTAGGTAGTGCAAAGCTTTATATTCTTCATCCATACCCGCTGCTAACTATGTTCAGTAAGATAATGAAAATCAAAATAAAAAATTCTAGCCATTACCGCTTCTAAAATGGATTTTCACAGAAATCATGAGTGGATGTGATTACTGATATGCTGAAAACTAATTTCATGTTTGATGCAATTCAAACTGGAGTC